GGTCAGGCAATCGCGGCTGCTGCTGCTGTTGCCGCCGCCGCTGCCGCTGCCGCTGCCGCTGCGGCTGCCGCTGCCGCTGCTGCTGCTGCTGCTGCCGCTGCCGCTGCCGATGCTACAGCTCGACGTGTTGTCCCGCACTGCCACACCCTTTCCGACTGCACAGCCTCCACCTCTCCCTAACCTCACACGTCTAGCCGCCCCATCCACAACCTCCCCCCTAGGTTCACCCTTCACCCCGCCGCCTGGGTGCCCCGCCGCGCCCCCAACGACCCGCGGCCCCCCTCCCAGCTGCTGCGCTGGGCCGAGGCGCTTGCGCCCGTCGGGAGCCTGCTGCTCATTGAGCTGCGCTGCGGCGCGCACCTGGGGCCGTGGGGCGGGGTGGTGGCAAAGGCCCGGCTGGGTTCTGTGGTGGCTGTGAACCTCCAGCTGTGCAAGAAGGGCCGCGGCGCGGCCACCCTGCCCATAGTCGACGGCGCGCTGCCGCCGCGCAGGGCGGCGGCGCCGGCGGCCGCGCCAGAGGCGATGGGGACGGCGGCGTCGGCGGCGGCGGCGGCAGCCCGTCCCGCGCCCGAGGCGGAGCCGGGCTCGCCGCCGCAGGGCCTGCGGGGCGGCGGCGTAGGCAACGGCGTCGAGCGCCACGGCGCCGGCGGCGTTGGTGGCGGCGGATCGGACGCGTCCTGCAGCCCCAAGGGGCACCCCGGCCGCGGCGCCGCGCGCCCCGCGCCGTCCCGGGGGTCAGCCGCGGCGGCGGCGCTACAGGGAGCGGTCGCCGCCGGCCTCGCGGCGCACGAGCTGCCCGGCTCGCCGGCGGCGGCGGTGCCCGCTGCTGCTGCAACAGAGGAGGCGCGAGGGCGGTGGGAGGGCGCCCTGCCTTACGTCGGGCTCGACATCAATAAGAGCGCCCTGCTGCTGGCGCCGTACGCCGCGCGCGCTTGCGCCGCGTACCGCTTCGCTGCGGAGCGGCGGCGGCTGCTCATGCACCTCGGCGCGCCGCCGCAGCAGCAGCAGCCGTCGCTTTTGTCGCTGGCCGGCCCCGCGCCGCTGTCGAGCGACGGCCCCGAGCCGCCGTGCGCGCTGCGGGCCCGGCCGAGCGTCACGCGCGCCGGCGTGCTGCGGCAGCGCTGGCAGCGCGTGCTGGAGCTGCGGCTGCTGGGCCGCAGCTCCGACTATGCGCTGTGCCTGCTGGCGCACCGCTACCGCCACGCGCGGCCGGCACGGCAGCCCAGCGGGGCCCCTGGCGGCGGCAGCGGCGGCGGCGGGGCCGGCGGAAGCTCAGGGGGCACTGGTCGCAGCGCGCGCTTGTGCGTGCAGGTGGATGCGGCCGAGGTTTTGGAGGAGTATGAGGGGGCGTTCTTGGGCATGCTTGCGGCCCGGCCGCCCCCGCAGCTGCCCGTATCGTCAGGCAGCGGCCCCCGGCGCTCCCCCGGCCGCCCCCGCGCCGCTCCGGCGGCGGCGGCGCCGGGGGCGCGGGCGCCTGCGGGGGGCGTGGGCGTGCTGTGGGGCCTGCTCGGCAGCGGCCGGGGCGGCGGCGATCGGGGGCCGTCCGGGGATGGCGTGGGCGGCGGGGAGCACTTAATGGCCGCAGCCGCGCTGGCGCGCTCCTACGCGTCCCCAGCAGCCCAGCCGCAGCAGGCTCGGCCCGCGCGCGAGGGCCGCTGGGCGCTGCTCCACCTCCTGCAGAGCAACCGGCGCCGCGCCGAGTCGGCCGAGCGCGCCGGCGCCTCCGTC